CTCAGTGATCTTAGATTGGCAAACTTGGAATCAGGAAATTAATGCTCTACACGTATTGTTAAATGTCAGTAAACTATCTTGTATCGAAAAGTGTCTAAAACTACTTTTGCAATGCACATTAATCATAAAGAAATTTGAAAGAGACTTTAGAAAACTCTTTAGCTAGATAATGTATAAGTTATCCATAGTCTTTCAGTTTTGAAGATCACAGACAGGGTAAATACAATTATTGCCCCTATAAGTACACTGTAAGAAATGTACATAAAAATTACAGTTAATAACTGTAAAATAGCAATGGTAAATTACCATTAAATCAAAAAGAGTAATTGCCTGTAATATGGAAATTACATTTCTGTAAATTGAAAAATTGTGATTTGCTTTTATTTTTACACTGCTGATATGTTGAAAATATATTAATGTACTGTAATATGGCACATTGTCTTTGAAAACAACAGGGAAAATCTGTAACATTATTTACAATTAATCACCCTACAATTTACATGATAACATTGAATGACAATCTTTCCTGATTTTTTCATTTGAATTTACGATTTACAACTGTATATTAATTACCTAAAACATACCGTACTTTTAATTTTAACAAAATGTCAAAATATTGTTTGAATTATTGTGAAAATTACAGTGAAATGTTTTTAATATTAACAAGCTCAGGCTCAGTATATGTTAACAGTACATACAAAAAATTACTAATAATAAAAAAATATGTATTTTTTTTTTAAGTTCTAGAGTCTCACCAAGAATAACACAGCTATTTATAATGAAACATAAATATTTTGTGGTATAGGGAGGTTTAAATCATGGATTTACCACTGTTCAGTCTGTGTTCAATCTGTTTGAGTGTGATACCACCTGCTGAAATTAAAATTAATTGATCAAAATGAAATACAAAAAATAATGAAATAATGTTAATAAATTGGTGTGGTTTGCAAGGTCAAGAGCAGTCAACGAATGTATTATAAAAGCTGTAACAATCAGTTTCCTTAAAGTCCATGCA